CCTGCGTAGAGCGGCCGGGACAGAGGTGCCACCATGCTTCCCCTCTGCTTAGAGAGGCTCCTGCCAGGTTTCAGGCCTTAAATTCGGGGCGTCTCATGCCAGTTGTGAGGTGGTCACGGGCTGCAGGTTCGTGTCTCTGCCTTTAGCTGCATCTGCAAGATCCTGCATCCCAGGGTCTTGCCTTTGCCACGCTGCTTGGCGGGGGGACCCTCCCCGCATTCGCAGGGGCCTCACCCCACGGTGGCGGGCCCAGCAAGGCCTCGAGGGCAGGGACACAGCCCCCCTCTCTCTCCCTTTTCTCCCCGACGGCTCCCTCTCCGCAGCTCATCCTGCAAATAAAAATGCTTTCCCCAAGTGGGACTTATTCAGATGAAAACTGCAGCATCGGGAATGAGAACCACACCGTTATCAGCAGGTTAGGGCCACAGCGTCAGGAAGAGCTCCCTGAAGGGCCGCAGCCGCAGGAGCTATGGAGAAAGAAGGACTTGGCGATGGGCGTCGCCCCGTGCCAGGACGTCAGGTGGTGTCTCTGGAGCGCCAGGAGGGCCGGGAGAGGAAAGGGCTGGGAAAGGTCGTGGCTGGGATCTGTCAGAGTTTGGTACAATGTGTAAACCCCATAGATCCAGTCACTGTGACAAGCGTCAGGCGGTCAGCATCGTCCCCGGGTTGCTGCTGGCGGGTTAGCGGGGCCCCTCGTCGCCTCCCCCTCTCAGAGGCCTTGGTCCCTGCTCGACCAGTAGAGCCGCCATGGCCCACCGTGGCCCTGGTTGCCTCTGCCTTGTGGACACCATGCTCGGGTCCTCACAGTCTCCTTTAGGTGGCAAGATGGGTATTTTACAAGTAAAAGGATGAAGAAAAAGACCATCCACACGGGTTCTGAGAAGGTAGGAGTGGCCAAGTTGATACCGAAGGAGCCTTCAGAGCGAGGGCTGTGACGGGGCCAGGGCGCCGGGGGCAGCTCCCCAGGGGGATGTGGCAGCCCATCCTGCGGGTACCCATGTCAGAGCTACGTGTGCGGGAAAGCTGGCAGAGTCCCTGGCAGCCGGCGTGAGCTCACGGGCCTCCGTGGGGCACGGGGCTGGCGGCTGCACGCGCAGCCCTGGGACGTGGACAGGGCATGTGGCACATGGCACGTGGCATGCCGAGGGGCGAGGCGGGGCTGGCGGCCTCCACTCTCTTCCCCGCGAAGGCGAGTGTTGCTCTGACGTTTGTCAGGGTGGGTGCAGGGTCGCCTGTGGTTGGGCGGGGATCTGTCCCGAGGACTTGGGCATTCCCACCCTGGCGGCCAGAGCACAGACGGTCTGGGGCCTGGACGTGTATTGGCCTGTGTGTGCACGTGGAACATTCCACACACTGAAGTCTGAGCCGAAAACGCAGCTCAGCACGTGTGGGAAACTGAGGTCACACAGAGGAACTAAATTAGGAGTAGACAAAAACGGTGTCTGGAAATAAGCCCCCAAAATTTGGAAATAAACAAGAAACTTGTAAATAACCCATGAGTCACAAAGGACATTAGAAATTATTTCCAATTACATGAAAAACAAACTAAAAACCTTCAAAATTTGTGAGATGCACCTAAAGTAGTGCTTGGAGGGAAATTTCTAGCATCAAATGCGTACATTAGAAGTTTTTCAAACGAAGAGCAAATTTAACCAACGCCCGTACAAGAAAGGAAATCATAAAATAAGACAGAAATCAGTGAAATAGAAAAGAGGATATTAGAGAAAATCAACGAAATCCACCTGATTCCTCAGAAAGGCTGACATATCTGATACACCTTCCCCAGTGGGCCAGAGACCGAGGCAGGGGTGGGTGGCCGAGCGAGAGTGGAGGCGTTTGTTTCCCTGGGGCAGAGGCCATCCATCCGCTGAGGGACTTATTGTGGCGCCGGCCTCCGTGCCCCGTGGGGCTCTATGGTCAGCAGTGAAGCGTGGCTATCAGCTTGTTAGTGGATGTGGGGCCTTGGTTCTTGTGCACAGAAACTGCGGCCTCAGGAAGGCCAGGAGCTCCCACTGTCTCTGTCTGTCTGTCTGTGGAAGTTTTCCATAGTTTTTTGAAATGCTGAGTTTTCTAGTTCTCCGTGGTCTGTTTTGTGTCACCTGTCGTGACATGCTGACGTAAAACCTGCGTCTCTCCTCCAGCCAAATGCTTGGTGGGCTGAGAAAAGGTTTGTGTTGGAGGCGCCTGGGGGCTGAGAGCTCCATTTCGGTCTTCCTCATCCCTGGAGATTTATCTTAAAATGCGATTTCGCAATTTGCAATGGAATACAGAAACCTGACAAAGAGCATTCCCATCACTCAGCAGCTTGACTGGAGAAGCAGCCGTCATGCAGACTGTTGTGTATAAGGATGGTCATCAAAAATTATTTGATAACAAAAGTTGGAAGTAATTTTAAGTACCCAGAATTAGGTATTTTTACACTGTGGACCAGCCACATGGTGGAGTAATCTGCAACCACTGCAGACACTACAAATGACACGCCCGGAAGATCTTCCTGTCCGGTTGGTGCATGGAGGTACCTAAGGACGATATTACATCCAGTCTGTTCTTCCACGAGTCGATTGTCACATTTACATCTGAGACCAGGGTGCATCTAACACCCACAGCATCTCTCAATTAGAACCAGCAGCGTTTTCCTCTCTTGGTCTTAAGTACGCTGATGGCACGTTAGTCGGTGACAGGGCCATCCTGCTTGGCTCCGGTCTGGGACGGCGCGCAGGGTTGGCACCTCCCTGGGCAGAACTGACCCTGCACGGGACAGCACCGCATCAGACATGGGGATAAGCCCAGGTCTGAGGCCCTGAGGCTGTGGCTCCAGGTGTCTGCAGGACTGGACAGTGCCTGGGAGTTGAGGATGAAGGTCCAGCCTGCCCAAGGAGGGGTGGGTATGTCGGCTGGCCCTGCGAGGCTGTGGCCTGGCTTGCCTTCCAGGGTTGCTGTCCTGCCGGCGGTCCCCTCCTGCAACCACAGTCCAGTGTGGGCATGTTTCCCGGGGTGGGGGGTGGGGCAGGAATGGCCAGCAGTGCTCCACGCTCCGGGTCTGGACCTCATCCCAAACTCTTCCCCGGGGGAGGCGTGTGTTTGTCACCCATCTCCTGACTGGGACCGTAATGGTTTGTGATAAAATCCTGCTTGGCCCTGGCCCTGCGGCCCCATCCCCGTCGTGCCCATCCCTCGCCCCTTCAGTGTGTCGTGCGTGGAACCGCCTTTGCCGGGTCCCCTGGATGTCCTGTTGGAGGGGACCTGGGCAGCGCTGGCCAGGTACATGGCCACCCTCTCACCCCAGCCTGGTGGCTCTGGCTGTCAGAGGGAGGAAAGTTTAATTTTTACAAGATTAATAGTATTGGAGCAATATTTTTAGCTGAGTGTGGTTCAAATAATGGGCCATTAATTGAAAAAGGAAATTGAAATGAATTTATCTTGTACATAAATGCTGTCACAGGTATTAATAGGGATCAGAAAATTGCAGCCTGTTCCCAGAAAGAGCTGAACCTGCAGCTGCACCTGGTGATGAGCATAATGGTGGGGGGCTCACGGAAACATGGGGGGCTGTGTGTCCTGG